GGCAGGGCAGTCAGAGAGAAGAGCTTAATAAACAACAGGATTACTCCTGCGCGGTGAGTAGGATTACCATCAACAACCCTGCAATTGCACTTTTTATATTCCTTTAACTACATGTTTAACAACCTTTAATAATAATTACAGTGAAACATCAAAATCTGATGGCTGAATACAGGTCCATAAGGAACATTTGTTTTATTAAATATACGCATACAAAAACAGACCACAGAAAGAAAGAAGCCCAAACACTAGTGATTTGAGAGGTGACTGCGAGATGTCATGAGCGGAGATATTTAACGGGACTTCACTAACGACCTGTTCATCCGTGTACTGTGCACCACCCGTGTAAACAACTGGGACTGAAACCTTCTATAAATACTATTGCAATAAACCAGAGTTAATGTTCTACGATATCGAGCAGATTTTGAATAAGTTATTTCACGTGTCAATTTGGGTTTCTTATTTCACTGTTGCGAGGAGAAAAAAAAAAAAAAAAAAGAGTCACAGCAGCATCACCTCTTAAATGTCACACTGTGAATGGTGGTCAACACCAGGACAATGCTCTTGGATGTGGCAAATCCACCGGTTTACATATCACAAGTGAAGAATAACTGTATGGATGGACAACTCAAATTACAATGTCACCAGACTCACAGGGACATAAATATGCAGAACATGGAATCATAACCCCGTGAAGAAATATCTATGTACAAAGTCAATGTTTAAATGTGTTTGGGGATTAAGGCCACAGGTACAAGGGACAGTTTATCTACTCTTTGCCATTATTGCATTTGACTCGATAGGTAGCGGTTGGGATGTATTCGTACTGCAAACCTATCCTTTACACGCCCGCCTAACTTACCAAGTCTTTCTTCTCCCAACTCAACCAGTCACACTTTGCTAATCCGTCTGAGACAAGCTAACTGTCCCTCTGTTATTTACCACTTTCTGTTCACCCCCCCCCCCCTCACTCACTCTCTGAGACTCACTTTACCACCATCCCAAGTCACTTAACCAGGTTCATGTTTTTTCAAGTGCGTGTGCACACGCACACACACACACACACGTGTGTGCGTGCATTAGTTCAACCGTCTTCGGTCCCAGCAGGGCAGGACTAGTAAGGATGTGAACCCCTCCTATCTTCTCTTCAAAAGGAATGACGACGTTGCAACGTCTGCTCTCAAAAGACATCTTTGGCTGCTGTTGGTTAAGCCTTCGGGTCATTACATCACCAGACACGACCGACTCGTCACAGCTTGATTCCACAGTCACTGGCCGGCTAAGTGTGAGACTCTTGTGCTGTGGATGTGTATTGCACTCTACCTCCAATTGCCGGACAGATTTCGTTCTGCCTCAGAGGACGTGAACCACACAGGTCAACTCTATTACAGAAAGAAAGAAAAAAACAAACAAACACATAATAATAACAGTAGAAAGAAAAATAAAGCACAATATCCAGCCAGTTTACCAGCCGACTGCAAAGAGAGCTAGTGGTTCTCGTTCAACAACTGTCTGCCCTGTTTGGTCCTCCGTCTAAGCGTGGACTAGGGCTACAACTGGGCTACGTGGGCTTCAGGTTGGACCCTCCGGGGATGACTGAACTCTGGGTGGCTGGTGTGGTTCCCATGTGGTAGCCTGAGGCCGTTGTAGGCGGCTGGTACTGCGTTATTGGCTGTGCGGGGTTGAGCATGCTGACCTGGCATGCGCCTGTGGGGCCTGCCCACTGAGGAGCACTGTATGGGGCCGAGGAATATCCAAACCCCTGTGCAACCGGGCCCAGGGAGCCTTTACGGGGCCCCAAAGGGACAGAGGGATTGGCTGGGTTGGGGAGATGAGTCGACGCGGCGGATGCGGTGCTAGAAGGCGTGGGGAGTGTCGGGCAGAGGAAGCCTGGTGCTGAGAATTTACGGCCCATGTTGGCTGGAGGGATAACCTGCAACAGTGGGAAAAAGTAGGTGTTACTACTGAATATGCAGGATTTTGCAAAACTATTGTGGGAATCTCGCAACTGGACATTTTGAGAAAGTGTGAATCACTACAACCTCGAGTGGTCCTTGAGCAGTTTTTAAAAGAAAGCACTGAATGCCTACATCATGTCCCAGCGGCGCTGCTGCTCCAGTTTTAGGTCCTCTCTTGCACTGGGAGAAGCTGATGGCATCCCTGGCCCAGTTATCCACCAGCTGGTGCAGGTCATCGGTGAAGGTACCCTTGCCCTTCTGTGTGTGGGAGGGAGGAGGTCCAGTGGCCTGGGTCAAAGAAGTAGAGTGGTTCTGGCCCGAACCGTTTGCGGAGCTTGTCCCACTTGATCCTGGTAAACAAGAATGGAGGTGAGAAAACAAATTCAAGGAATGAATGCACTAAGCCCACTGTGACTAAACGAAGTGCCGGCACATACCTGTGGAGCAACTACTGAGGCTGGGCATGGATGGAGAGGATCGAAGCTGCTTTACGGAGGACATGTTAACTGCTTGTGATGCCTCTGATGCGGTTTCTGAGGCCTCTGTTGATGAGCGTGAACTTTGCTTTGGAGGAGACTCTAAACCATGAAGACTCTGAGCTGAGGCTGGGGATCCTAAGCATAGGAGCACAAGACACAATGGCGTGTAAACATCTACCTCGGAACATATAACTTTAACTGCTTCAGCAATGGACTGCAGCACTGACATCAAAGAGAGGTATTCATTTTAACTTGAGAGCCAAAACAAGCCAATTCACCGTCCTTACCCGAGTGTTTGGGACTGGGTTGTCCACTACCGCGGGCAGATTTGTGGCTTTTGCTTTTGCTTTTGAGCCTTCGTCGACCTCCGGCCATTGCCACAGCAGGGGAGAAGACAGTAGAAGGGGGAGGTTTTCCCATCCGCGTGAACAGGGCCTCTATCTCATCTTTCTGACGAGTCTGCAATGTCTGGATCTCCATCATATGTCTGCGAGCGTGATGAGACATACAGTCATGTTACAATATTGCCATATAGCTGTGAAGTAACACTCATAAGAGGAAATGAAGTGTGAAATAGGATTGTGAACACGTGGCATACCTTTCTCTGAGACGGCTAATTTCTTTCTGCAAAGCCTCGTCCTCGGTCTCAGAGTCGTCGTCATTGTCACTGCTGTAATGGGTGTGCGCATTATGGGGATCAGACGCTGAGGATGAGGGCCCATTCTGCATACTGGAGCCATGTGATGGACTGGAGCCTGCTGCTGGAGCTGGAGTCACTGAGGGACATTATACACATAAGGTGTTAGAGATACAAGGTTACCTTCGGACCGTGTGATTTAAAAACATTAAACATCTATAATCTTTGCATAAGAAGAAGAAAGTCTTTGTTTTATGCATATGTACCGACTACTTCCAAGGATTATCTTCCGATATGGTTATAACGTCAAGCTCAGTAGCTTGATCAGTCGACTGAATTTGCAAAAAGCTATCAAAGCTCTAAATAATATTTTCCACTGCAGCCTCTGGCAACACGATCATTTAAAAATAGTGGAAGAGGCAACGATGCCTCCACACAGAGCATGGCTTTCCATAAAGAAATCTCATTATACAGATTACATCACGACCACTTATCAAAAGGATAGCTGTGATAATGTGATGATCCATTTTTAAAAACACTTATGTTTCACTTAGCCTGCTCAGTTACAGAGAAGGCAGTGAAAACACTGAAGTGTGAAGCATCAGTTGTGTACGGTGCTCAGTGTAGCATGTTAATAGTCATATGTATCAAAGCTAGCTTAATTTGCTGAACTTTGAACCCGGTACGTGCCTGTGACGGAAAAGCGGCCCACTTTAGAGCCAGTGGTTGGCCCAGATGTGGTGTTGGTGCCCGTGGACACTTGGAAGCGCCCGATAGTGGTCGGCTGACAAGCGGGACCAGCAGAGAGAGAGGAGGCTCCATTTATAGTGTCAGTCTCACAAACTCCTTTGGACAGAGAGGATGAACGGTGGAGGGTATTCTCTGGACTTGAGGGGGAGGAGGAGGAAGAGGAGGAGGAAGAACAGGTAGAAGACGGCGTGATTGAAGAAGACGAAACGATGCTCGAGGGACCTGGAACGCTGCTGGACTCGCCATCGGTAGCAACAGACACCTGGAACAGAGGGGAAGAACATGTTAATGAACTAAGAACGAGGTGTAAGAGATGTAGCTGTTCTAGACTGAATTAACCAGATACATTTTAAACTGCGACTTAAAACTTACTTGGAAACGTCCCAGAGTGAAACCCGCTGCTGGAGGCTGGACTCCCTGAACCGTCTCTGGGCTCAGAGCTCTCCTCAGCTGGGCGTCCAAGTTACCCAGGGGTTGCTGTGACTGTGGAGTCACACAAACGGTATATGAGGAACAATCCACAGTTGTGCATATGTATATCTACACTATTTGTTAAAACCCGAAAAAAAAGTAGTAAAGCAGGGAGTATCACCTGATTTGGTCCAGGAAATGGGGGCACAAGCTCAGAGGGAGGTGTAGCAGCTTGATCAAAACCAGTAGGTAAAGTCTAAAAATAGAACAAAGATGAAGTCAAGTCAAAATATGATTAGAGCAATTAACGGCATTTTTTGGGATTTTTTCTTGCATGCTGCAGTTGTCACTAACCTGTGCCCTGGGCTTAGTTGGAGGTGTCTGTCCTGCCGGGGTAAGACCCTGTCCTGGGGTGGTGGTCGGGCCCAGGACTGCCTGCACCCCGGTAGTGAGGGGAAGGTTAGATGGGGGCACCAGCGCAGCTCCGGGTGGAGGAGAAGAAGTGCCAGTGGGAGGAGAAGAAGTGCCCGTGTTCTGATCCAGTGATGCAGAGGTAGAGCTCTGATCTTTAAACAGGGACCGTAGCTTCTTATCTAGAGCCTTGATATCGTCTCTGCCGGCAGTCTTGTTCGGGAGCTCCGCCCCCTCGGACTCCACTGGCTGTGGTTGGACCTGGCTCTGACTGGGTAACGAGGTGGGAAGAGGGGTCTGAGCAGAAATGGGGACAGGCTGAGCCTGGGTTGTGTGCTGTGGTGGATGGACGGACGAATTCACAGGCTGCTGCTCTGAAGCAGGGCCAGTGCTGGTGCCAGTGCTACTGGATGCAACACTAACAACAGAAGAGACAGAGACAGAACTACCGCTCAGCTGAGGCCCGGGTACTGCGGGGACGGAGGTCTGCACTGAAATGCTGGAAGCTGTGGGTGGGATGTTGGCAGCTGGTGAAAGCTGTGAGGGGGCTGTTTCATGGGATGACTGAGGAGGGGGACTGGGATCACTGGTGGCAGGAGCTGGAGTTTGGGACTGAGTAGATGTAGGTGGAGGGGAAACCCTCCCAGTTGAGGGAGGTGGTGAGGATGCTGCGGTAGATGCGACGCCGGGAAAAGTAATGCTAGCAGTGGAAGCTACGGCTTCTGGAGGAGCCAACATATTGTTGGAGTTTGGGCCGAGTCCAGCCTCCGTGGCCAGGACAGGGCCTGGTTCCTGCTCAGTCGCAGGGATATCAATGGTGCTGCTTCTCTCTACACGCGCCTGCTTCATTTTACTGAAAGCCTGCTGGAGAGTCTCAGATGGAGCAGACAGAGAAAGGCCCAGGGGCATAGCAGGAGCTAGACAAACGTAAAGAAAAGGAAGTTATTCTACAATGTAAATATGATTATTTTGAGCATCTTCAAAGAATATGAGACACAATAACAGTTTATAATACGAAATGACCATCAAAAACTTTCAGAGTGGTATTACAAGAAAATACAGGCCGGGCTAGTTAGTTAGCATGCTCAATTCCATTGATAAATGTATTACTTTGAGAAACCAAACAGTGGGAAGAGTTTAATTCCACTGGGAATAAAATTAACTTTTCTTTCACCTGGCTCATCTCCAAAGGAGGTATTAGCAAAAGAACCGCCAAAGAACTGGTCTCTAAGACGAGACTCTGGCACTGGGCTGACTATGAACCTCCGTCCTGCTGAATGCACCACCTGCGCTGTAGTGCTGGGGGAAATGCCTGAGAGAGAGAGAGAGAGAGAGAGAGAGAGAGAGAGAGAGAGAGAGAGAACGATGTGAGACAGGAGTTGGACTTCATACAAATCAATAAGTGGACTGGAGCGCTGTATTTCTGGCCAACGTTTGTTTACCTGGCAGCATGGGAACAGACAGCGCAGGCTGTTGTTGGTGATCACTCATCTGCAAAGAGACGAACATACAAAAAGGTATGTGGTAACGTCGTCAGGTTCATGATGGGTATGATGAGCGGATGTGTAGTAAATAAATACCTGAGGAAAGCCTTCCTTCAGGCCCTCTCCTTTCTCATCAGCCATTTCTATGACTTCACGGACCTGCTCGATGAAGGACTCACGCTCACTTTCCAAGATGAATTCACTCTCAACCTAAAACAGGAAGCAAAAGAAGTGAAACACAAGTTTAAATCTATAAACTGTTCTTCTTTTGAGGCCAAAACTCTTTCAAATGTACAAAACAAAGTTGGTGTCTGAATTACACACCACTGTTAAATAGTCATTATTAAAGGAATCGACACTGTGTGAGCTCTTTGCTCTCGTTTTCCGCTACAGTCGATTGTCAGTCAGTTGTCAACTCAATGGGATTTTGTTACTGTTAGCCATGCAACAGTTTATACTCTATGAATATGTAGTGTGTATATTATTGTAACAAACAGCTGCAGAAGCACTATTACCATGATCTGTGCAATTTCCTCTGGATTATCACCATCGAGATCAAATTTGAAGGTCACCATCTTCCTGTTATGCGTTTCCAGCTGACATTCTGCGACTCTGTCTCCCACATTAGAGATCTGCAGAACATCCGTTCATGTTAAAACAGTTCAGAGACAAAGGGCTTTAAGACGGAACGTGAATGAAGTCATCGCTTCGATACATACACTGAGAACATTGAGCTTGGCCTTCGTGGTCTTCTCGTGGCGGGAGCGGCTGCGTACAGATCTCCTCTGGTGACGTTTCATCGAGCGGCCCTCGTGGCGACCTCCCGATGTAGAGCCTCCATCATTGCCGTCGCTAAGACCTGAAGCTGCATCCGACAGGCAGCTGAAGGAGAAATGGACCCGTGAGAGAGAGGTCTGACACACTGTGGGGCTGCTTTTTAAAAATAAACTCCTTCTTACGTTTCTACAGACGGCGGCACCAGCACAGACGATCCTGGCGGCTCCGCTGGTGCTGACTGAGGGGCACTCGCAGGGGCCTAAAATACAGACAACCTTCAGAAAGCAAGCACTCAATGTCTAAAGAACATCTCAAAATGGAAAGTCCCATTGTTTGAGCATTACTCTTTTGAAATGGTAGAACACTAGAGATGCATTAGTTGGTCGCCGGTCACCAACCATCAACCTGCAGGTCAGTCATAGCAGACAGTAAAGCCACACAAACATGCGTCATTGCCCATGATAGGCTGCGGAGGAACAACCGTAAAAACATTTCAAACAGCTCACTTAATCGCAGTGAACAGCGTGGAGCGAATGTTAACAAGCGAGGTTCAAGCGAGATACGTGAATGAGTAAAGCTGATGAAAGGAGATGTTTCACAGCAATCTTAATAGATATTAGAGAGGGAACCTGTTTAACTTCCTAAGTGTTTAAATAAATAATCAATAAATGATTTTATAACCAATTGAGTTATTAGTTTTATGCAAATAACCACTATAGATCTAGATGATCTATAGTGGTTATTTGCATAAAACTAATAACTCAATTGCCTTTACAATTCATTTAAGATGACCAACTACAGTAGAGGAATGATATAAACCAGAGCATCCACCAGATGGCGCTGTGTAACCTGGTGAAACTGGTCTCTGGGTAAAACAAGTGAAGCTGTTATTCAGCTCACAGGCAGAGTGTAAACATTGTGGTGTAATGGAGTTTTCATTTCCTTCAGAGTGTGGTCATTTATCTCTGCTGTGCTTATTTGGATATTAGTCACGTTCATACAGGGAATTGCTGTTTTATCATGTCCAGCTCCAGCCTTGTGGGTTGTTACCATACTGTGACTTTCGCATCTGTGATAAAATGTCTTATTTCTTACTTCCTACTTCCTTCTCCCTTCTCATTATTACATACACAGATCTATTGAGGGTAGTGCTTTCATGGAGGATTAAAGCTCAGAGTAAACCCGTAAGCTGTTTTTAGAACAGAAGGATATGTATGCTCTGTGTAACACGGTATAGATCTAAGTGTGAGGACAGCTCTTCTATCAGACCAAAAAGATATGAAATGGTTTCATAAAGGCAACAGTTGCAAAAACAATCACTGTTCCATGTTTTAGTAGATATTTTGGTCCGTGGTCGGGTAAATATGGCTGAAAAAAAAGCACTCCCTCACTTCCTAACAACTGCCCTCCTTATAATACATTTTACACAAATCATTATGTGTTTATATTATTCAGCATAAATCCATTAAAATAATATGTAAAATGTGTGGCTAAACACACTTTAAAGAACAGGAACTGTGTAAGGAGAACCAAAGACTGGACACCTGACCCACAAACACCAATCAATACAAGTGTTGCGCTCTGTAGAGTACCTGCAGAGCAGAGAGGCATGAGGCCTGATAGAGGAAGTATAGGTGCTCTGCGTTGAGTGGAGGTGACAGGATAGGAGGACTTGGATCATTGGCCCAAGACTAAGAATCATGCAGGAATGAGCAGCATGCAGAAAGGAAGAGCGGAAGAAAAGAAGAAACAGCCACGGTAATGATGACAGATGTGTGTCCAGAGGAAGGAAAAAGAACATTTAGTATAAACACAAAGATAAAAATAGAAAGCATGAAATGCTTACTTTAGTATGGTGAAGATCAAATAAATGTGTGTGTGTGTGTCACCTGTAGCTGAGCTCCAGTCTGCTGTGGTAGAGCGGTGCTGCTCTCTGGCTGAGGCTGCTGTTGGGGGGGAGACGACTGCGAGGACATCATCACTTGCTGGGTGGGATTCTGTGAGAACAGAAGGGATAAAGAATACAGATATAATATACAAAAGATGACACACAGTCATAGTAAGCATCTTGGTGACTTATGACGTTTTACTTTGGCTCTATTCCAAACCCATGCACAACATAGCTGCATTACTCGGAGCATTCATCTATTTGACATGACACGTCAGTGAACGTCTCTACGGTGTATTTTAGAGACATGTAACGTGTGTCATTCCACACTGCACATGCAAGTTTTTGAAAACTATTTGACGTCATATTTTTGTCTGGAACTCAATCATTTTTCCATTTACTATGATTAAGTCCAAACTTATCAAACATCTGCGAAAATGTCAACGACATGTTTACTTTGTTTCACAGAAAGGCTGTGGGTGTATTTACAAGTGCTAAAAGGAAAACGGGACATTTGATCTACCTGAGGGGGAAGCATTGGTTGGTAGTAAACTCCGTACTATAAGAAACAAAACATAACAGAGGGTAAGAGGAGGAAACGTGGAATGAAAATATAACGATACTGGAAAACTCGGGATTCACAAAACTGTGCTGCCTTCAAAGCAGCCACCTGACGCAGTTAATACAAGCTTCATGTTACCTCTGAAAAAAATGGTGTTTTTGCTGACCTAGAGTGGTTGAAGTTCACATTTGTTGCAGTGATACTGAAGTGTACTGAAGGTGTGTTCAGTACAACCTGACACTATTAGGTTTGTTGTCAGGTGCAACAGATCTGAAACTTTGAACCACAGTTTAACCAACTGTTGTGAAGTTGCTCCTTGATGACATAAGGACATGCAGTGCAGCGTGTACCTGTGCAGGTGCCACTGGAACAGACTGGCTGCTGGGTGCAACAGGAACAGCTTGAGGCTGGACACCTTGCATCTGGGGCTGAACCTTAAGCACCAGAGATAGAAAACAACAGCTCGTGGTGAAAATGAGGCAAAGAAGAAAGTAAACACTTAGATGATCACATTCAAAGACCAATAGGTCAAAGAGCACATGTGGATCAAAGGAAATGTAGTCTGTACGCTTAAAAACGTGATCCAATTATATACTTAAGTCACCTGATTCTCTTCAACATATAAGATGATGTCCTATTTTCCACTTGACTCACCACTGAGAGCTGCTGCTGTTGCGTTTGGTCATTTTGTGCCTGTGGGAGTGAACCCTGGGGCTGAAGGTGCTGACTGGGAGGGGAGCTGTAGGGTATTCCAGACTGAGGAGGCTGGACCTCTGGACGGATGGTGGAACCTGGTAGTTTGTCTCCCATGGCTGTATCGAGTGGACAAGAAGTTAAATTTCGGAAAATACTCAAACGCTCATCTTCAAAAATCAAATCATTCCATTATCGTTCAGAGGGCTGTAGGTGTATTTGGCTAACAGTCATCTTTGACACACACCTCCTCCAGAGTGCTGTAGTTGTTGGTGTTGGTCGGTCTCAGGCTCCTCTGACTCCGGCTGGATGGTGGCCACACTCTGACCCTGAACTGGGACCGGGACTTGCCCAGTTGACTGAGGGATGAAAGGAATGCCTTGTGCCATGCCGGCCAGTTGGGTTGATTGAGGAGCGTTATAGAGAGAGCTCTGAAGGCTCTGCTGAGATGCAGGTTGGGTAGACATATGCGTGCCGTGTTGGCTCGGTTGTGGAGGGACATAAGGACCAGGCTGTGCCACCGGCTGGGGCTGAGGCACCTCCGTGATTGGCTGTTGGCCTGGTTGCTGTGCTGGAGGTAACTGACTCTGCTGTTCTTCTTCTAGCCTTCTCTTCTCCTGATCTTCTCGGACCTTCAAGACAGTCGGCAGCAAATGTATTAAAATCCCTCAAGAGAGCACTGACAACATCTAAAACATCACAGCACAGGTACAGACAGCCTGTGACACACCATCATGACTAAGATAAGAATTCACACAAAGCACTTAAGCAAATAATAAAGATAAATACATTAGATGCACTATGGTGAGCGTGGACCTACCTTCTGCCGCTGTGCTCTCTTGCGATTGATTAAAGACACTCTGTCCTTTATGGCCTTTGCAATGGTCTTGTGGTCTCCATCGCACACATAACCAGACTCAACCTAAAGCACAAAGACATGGTGTACAATTCAATACATTTACTTTTTGTTGCACTGTTAAAAAGACTGATTAAACTAAAATGTTAAATTCACCATTTCCTGAGCCACGTCCTCCGGGACATCTTTCTTGAGGTCAAAAGAAAACTCAATAGCTTCGTTGTCTTTGTACTTCCCCTTGAGTTTCTTGACATCCTCAATTCGCAGCCACAGCTTAATAGCCTCCATCTCTCCATCGTCTTCTTCTGCCAACTCCACACGCACCCCTGTGTCCTCCTGGAAGAAGGCATGGTTCAGAAGGTCCTTGATCGAGTACCTAAAGAGAGGGAGACAAGTCGTGAGCAAATGTACGTTTTCCTGGAGAGACCTAGACTACCCTGAACCCATTACATGTGCTCATGAGTTAAGAGACCTCTCGTCCTTGTTCTGACGAATACATCCCTCGATGATCTCCTTCACTTCAGGAATGGCCACCTTGTCGAAGCTGCCCGGCTTCACCCCCTAAAGGAAACACAGAACCCTGAATGAGAATGGTTCCACTTCTCATACCACCCGTTTGTTTATTACCCTGTGTTCTTCTTCAGCTCAGAGTCTCTACATTAGCACCACAAAACCATTTCTCACATACCAGATGACTGGGATCTTTAAACTAACTTCCTCTTTCAATTGTTTTTGGGAATATATTTCAAAAGTATGAAGAGGACCGGGTTGCTTCTGAGAAAGTATGTTAATGTCATATAATGGGTAGGGAATGGCATGCTTTCTACCGGGGGGCATTTAAAAATTGCGTAATGTCAGGTGATGGGGGAAAATAAGCCATAAGGCATAAGTCAGGTGAGGATAGCTGATGAGAGTCGATAACTTAAAAGAAGAACAACAGGAAACAGCATGGTGCCACGGGGACATGGAGGGCTGGCTGAACAGCTGAGCTGAATGAAGGAACAGGAAGAACGACACTACCTAAATGTAGCCTCAACAACACTTTGTTTCTCAACTAATTCAACGGTGTTTGATGCTCTGCAGTGCAGTATGAGCCATGTGTGGCTTATAACTTGGCAGTAGAAACTTCCTCTGTTAAGTCATGTGGCAATAACTTCAGTATTTCAGTAAATGATAAACTAAGGGTAAAGGTAAAGCTTTCAAAGCCTATTTCGTAAACACTGGGAACAGGTTCAACCTCTTTATCTGTGAGACTTTTACAATTGCAAGAGCATGCATCACATCAGTGACTTTCGTTTAACTTATTTAAAAAAATAAGCAAGCACTAACTGTAAGAATACAACTTAAAATGGGTGTTTTTTTCTCCTATGACAGTTATAGTCTTTCCGTCATCAGAGGACTGAACCATTAGCCGTTAGTGAAATAGCTGAACTGGGCAATAGGAAACAATCTGGGAGATACAGGAATGCAATGAACTCAGGAGGTGAAATACAACAGTAGAAGATAGAAATGTGATGTACGCTTGATAAAGAGGTGTCAGCAGGAACATAATATCATTCCAGAATGGGACACTAGCCTTCTTGGCACATAGGAAGAGGTGAAGGCAAGGCAGAGGGGGTGACATGGAGTGTTGAAAAAAAGACTTACGCTGGTAACTCTGCGGTAGATCTGTGCAGCGTTCTGGCACTCTGAGTAAGGGTACTCTGAGGTGGCCATCTCCAGCATGCACATTCCAAAGGCATACACATCCACTGACTCGTCGTACTTCTCCTCATACATCTCAGGCGCCATGAACTCAGGGGTACCTTAAATCAAAACAACTATTCAGAACTCTGGAACTCCCTTACTGATCGAGTGGGCTTCTCACAACCCATTGCCCCTCTGCTCCTCTAACCCGTGAGGGGTTGAGGAAGAGGAGGACGAGAGGAGTGACCAGCCTGTTGACATCTCCCGGAGCAGAACCTGTGAGGTGAAAGTTGGAAGAGAGAAGAAAAAAAAAGAAAAAAGGGGGAGGAAAGTAAAAAAAGAGACAGAAAACAAAAAAGGAGGGAGAGGCTGGGCTCAGTTAGAATGCAGAGAAGAAAGCACGCGTTTGTCTGTGTAAGACCGTCACATGTGGTGATGTAAGGCAGTGACTGAGGGAGCCAATGTGCACAACACACTTGTTAGCCAAATGAACGGTATTTGCAATTGCCAAAGGAGGGTTAACCGGGACCGAATAGTGGGATTTTTCAAAGGGACGTCAATGATATCTGCAAGAGAAATAGGACTAGCTATGGAAATAACTTTTGTCAAGACCTTACCGTACAACCACATTGTCTTTTAGAGAACACTCACCTTTCGAAGTGTGACTTACCATTTCTTCTTAAACTGCAGGAGGAAACTGTTATAGTCAAGGCTGAGAGAAGCAGGTCCCATAGCTAGCTACTGTGCTCAGCAGTGTGTCTTTGCACATCGGCCTTGTTCTATTCGTTGATCATTTTACATTTAATTCTCAGGTCTTACACAGAAAAACTGGTTATTTGAATGTAATTGTTTTTGATATTGATGTGTGTTACAGCACACTGTCACACTTACCAGGCCCATTAAAGTTCATACTTACTCAATGACCAGCAGTACCCTATTCATTCCAAACAGCAGAATGGGGCACAGCTGAGGCTAGAGCCTACATTTTAAAAACATACCCAAGAATGTGAAAGTAAAAGAAAATAAATAAAAGAAAACAAACAAAAAACAAAAGGCAAAGGGCTGACAGAGAGAAAGTGGGCAGAGCTTCCTGGACACAAAGATGGATCAAAAAGATTCTGCGGCCCTGCAATATTTTAAAAGACAGTAAGAGACAAACACTAGAAAAAAAAAATAAACCTGTTGAGGCAAACCCATAGAAAGAGATGTTAAATATTATAGATATAACTGGCAAACAGACCACATATTTCCAAACCACAGAACAAAGACCAGTCTAAGACAGAAGCAAAGGCCATACCTTAGCAATGGCCAGGTCAGCCTGAAAGAAGGCATGAAAACTATTATAATAAAGATATTAATAGTTAACAATAGGAGAAATGTTAGGCGCTACTTACATTCAGTAGGTGCCTGGAAAAAAACCTCTTTTGTTTTTTTCGAGAAACATCGAACAGAAATATTCTGTACAATGACCAAACTGTGCGAGTGTAAAGAGAGAAAGCCTTGTGGTTATCTGCATAAGATCACCACAGGATTTGGCCTCCTGTGGTTTGAGAGACAGCTGAAACGCTGTGGTCTGTTTTTGAACCACGTCGTCAGAAAAACAAACCAAAAGGAAGATACCCTCTTTAAACACCATCATTTTCAAAACACACATGATACGACCTTAGAAAAGGTACTGCCCCACAGCAGGAGGGACCAGAGGGTAGAAATGACTTCGGAGTCGTACCTATAACACTCTTTGCAAACGACGCTCGCTTGAGCGTGGCCAGTCCCAAGTCTCCGATCTTGACGGATCCTGTTGGGCCTGTGATGAAAATATTGTCGCACTTAAGGTCCCTGTGGATGATGGGGGGAGCCCGAGTATGAAGGAAGTGGAGCCCTTTGAGGATCTGTCTACACCAGCTTCGCAGCACTTTAATTTTCATCACCTTGAACCGTTTCAGATATCTACAAGAGAATAGATCATCATTTTCACAGGAACACAGATATAACGATGTATGTATGTAGTTCTGTAGTAATGCGTTTTTTAGTTCTGGCTCGTTGGAGACTCACGTTTTGAGTGTGCCAGAAGTCATGAGTTCAGTGACCAGAACAATGCACTTCCTGCCTTTTGAGGGTCCCTCCCAGGAGTCGTAAAAGCGGACAATGTTGGGATGCTGTAGTCCCTTTAACATCCCTGCTTCCTCCTTGAAGCGCTGCCGCTCTGTTTTTGACAGCTTACGATCCTGCAGGAGACAAAAAGGAAATACTTAAAGATGTCACACATCCCAGAGGGCAGCACTATTAGAAATACACATCGATTGATGACTATTTTTAACAATGCATTAATGACAAAAACAGCAATGTGTAACTATCTGGCACCGTCAATACCAATGCCAAGTAAAGATGCATTTCTAACCCGATGCCAGTTAGCACCTGATTTTGCCAATCCATAAGAAAAGCATTTTAAGTCTACAGTCAACTTGATATTCCAGGTTTGAAACAGGAAACCGAAAAGATTCAAACGGAGTGAAATGCCTTTCAAAGTTGAACTGAAAGGTGATGCAATTTGTACAAAAGTCATACAGTTGGGGGCATTAGGCTGTGGCCGTGTTTTCTCTGGCAAACTACTGTGAACCAAATTAAATTTGTCTAGCTTTGTCCTAGATACCAAGAAAACCAAATCAATAAAAGAGCCACAGCATGACAGAGAATCAGAGCAGACTATGATTCCAAAGAAACCAAATCAAATCTTTCCTGTTAAACCTTTTCATAATTCAACACAAGCGACACCCACCACACTCTAGAGTTGGGTTAAGCAGGTTTGTGGAAAAATAAATAAATGATCACAATAACCAGAAGACAATATATATACATACACATCACTGTGTGTTAAAATAAAATAAATCAGGAATGTGTACAACCACCCTTCCCAAGTTTAATGAGTGATTCCTGTTATGACCTACATTTTACAGCATGATTATAGAGCAGCAAGCCCATGCATGTTAAACAAGCTCAGTGAAACCCTGCAACCGAAAACCCCCTCCCCCTTTAAACCCCTCAGGACATGGCCACAGGCCAGGCGGTCCAGTAAATTCAGCACATTTGTGAGTGAAGACTTGACTTTGTGTGTCAGCAAGAGATAGAAAAAAAACTGACATCACAAAAAAACATAAATGAAATTGCTCCTCCTTTGTGACGGGTATTTTGGAGGTTGGAGGTTGCAACATAGCTCAGACAAAATGAGAAGCTAAAGGGAAACATATGTTAACAATTACAAACAAGGGAGGACAATGAATCAGGGAGCAATGTCAGCAAACAGAAGGTGAGCACTGGAGGCTCCACCGTGCACTTAGACCAACTGACCTACTTTCCAGAGTATTTATCTGTTGGTGCAGTGGTTCCCCCTCTTTCATGTGCCATGCAGAGTTCCTAGCCGAGGGTCAGCAGCAACCAACCCAACCACGGTATTAATGCCAGCAATTTCACTGGAGGCAAACTGCCCCATGGATGACTCATTTTAAGACAAACGTACAAGTCCAAATCATGAACTGGTGAAAACACGGACGTCGGGTCTGAAGAGTGGTTGTGAAGCTCAAAGCGGATGGCACCGGTGGGGCATCTTGGCAGTGACAACACAGCCTAATTCTAAAAATGGGCAAAGCGGTGGATCAGTGGTGGAGCTGAGGCGGGCCTTGATGAAGGGCCTGTATAAACCTTCCAGGAATTTACGATCTTGTAATCATAAGACACACATCCTACTCTCTTTGACTGTCACTTGAAAGAGTTCTTTGGCCTGTGCCAGTCTGGTATCTCCAGGTATCCTGATCAGAGAAGGCCAAAAATAAAAGGCAAATGCAAAAATTATCTTTTGGGCCCATTTGCTTGACTGACGGGTGTCTCTCCCTAGCAGCTGAGGTTAGTGTGCCTTGCTTACCCCACCCCAGCCCCAATTAGTCTCACCCGTTCTTGACAAAATTCAATAATCTAGCTTGAGAAACTCACTAAGATGGTATGAATTTGTAAAACCTCACACCAGGCCAGGCCTTAAAGCATTACCATCAACATATTTCAGGTGCCTTCACAGATTCTGCCTCCATATTTTCTCGACTCTCAGTCGACAGTATCGTCATAATCTACATACCATTTTGAGGGAGAGGCTTTAAATGTCTATGAATCAGGAAACCTGAACTGGCTGGCACTCAGAGGACAGCAGCAGCTGCAGCTGAATCACAGCAGCATCAGAGAGCAGGCATGAGTCAGCTCACTAAATAGCTGCGTTGCCACCACTGCCTGCAACATCAGAACCGTCAGCTGTGAAAAAACTGCTGAACACGATGAAGCAAGAGAAAGCGTGCACGGTGAAGACAAAGTAGAGCAAATGTTTATGTAACATAATTTCATAGAAATAGAAAAACAGTTTTAACAGATCTTAAAAAAGGTGCAATGTGTAACATGTAGCCAGCTTTACATGAGCCGGGTCAGTTAACTTTCTGAATGTCTTCATTTTGACTTGTGTTTCGTATTTTCTATGAAGCAATGTGATTTTGTATGCATTGACCATGTCATGTTATAACACTATCAAAAGAATACCGCTATTAAAATTGTGTCAATAATTTCCACTTAGATTGCAAAGCCCTAATGCTATCTGAACAACTCCATAACTCAATGTGAATCACATCTAGTGCCAGGTAACTACAGTATCGCCAAGCAGAACAAAAAAAAAAAAAAAAAAAAAAAAAAAAAAAAGAAGAAGCTTCTAGGCATCATAAATAAATCAACAATCCCAAAAATAGATTGTGAAAAAAGCCTGTGATCATGCCAAGGGCTGGCTCTGTCAGGTCCCTGCTCTGAGGGTGACACTGAGGGCTAGATGAAGCCTTCCGGATAACGTTGGTTGAGATCTGGGTAACAGCTGATGGGCCTGAAAGCCAACAATCTAATGTTAAACAGTTGCAAGCTAAATGTGACTTAGTCATGGCACTAAGTGCAGTATGACTCTTTATGATGTTTTTAGTGTTCCCGTGACATCGTGACACATGGTAGTGAGGTCAAAGATCACTGTGACCGTCAGTCAAACTGTCAGCAGACAATGTGATGCATACAAGCCATTTCACAATCTGCCAGGATGACTATTCATCTCATCTGAATGTGGTAGGAAAGAAAACTAGCCTTCCACTTCAAATACAGCAAAAGAAAGAGGGTCCAAAAATATAGCACGTCACTCCCAGCGGATGCTCCCGCAGGTTCTACAGGACGAGTGGGGTTTTACTCCACATCTTTCAATGTTTGGCTTCAGCCAGTGCTGGAGAGGAAGGAGGTGGGAATGCAGCGAATGGGAGATGACATGTTTTGAAAATGGATGAGTGAGCAAGAAAGGGGAAGCTGCTAAATATATTCCATTTCTTTCCCTCGGCTTCCTCTCTGTGGTGACCTACTTATTGTTCAGACACGTCTGCAACGTGAGATCCAAAACAAATGGGTGGGTGAAAAGAAAGACGCCTAGAAATTCTTTGACAATTGTGGACAGATGGCTTTCCAGACTGAATTCAAACTTTACATTCGAAAGCTTCTAGCCACGATTGAGGCAATGTTGATTGGTTGGTCAATTAGTCCGATACAGTAGTGAAATATCTCTCACTACTGTAGAACCTGATATGAAATTCGGTACCAATTCTCGTCATGACCACCATACCAATTACAGCAACATATTTAGGGGAGATTAAAGGATTTCATGAATGAAAACCTGTCAGACGTGTTGCATTAGCATACAGGCAACGGTTCTGCTGTTGCTTCCACCTGACACCAAAATCACAGTGAACTAATGAGCGGTCAGAATGATCACTTTCTGCATCACTGATTGTGGCATCAAGAGAAAACAAAATAAGCAAATTAACTGGCTGAGCCCTTAATCATTCCTTGAACAGTGCAATCTTAACATTTGTTCTGATGGAATTTGCTTTTTAGGAGGATGATTGCATTTTTCCTAAAACCAAAGTAGAAAGGTGTCATAATACTTCCATTACTGTCAAAATCTTCAAAGAGGGAATGGCTGTAATTAAATCAATGTAGTTAAAACTACAGAAAATACAGATAATATTATATTTTTCACATTACTTTCCACTAAATATACCCGTGGGATACACGGGGGAATGTAACACTGGCACTTGAGTGATCATGGGACAGCTTTAACAACCATGTGAGAGGGGATTTCAGCTTCTTATGTGTAGCTGAACAGTTTCTAGGACTGAAACGCCAGTTGACAGAGGAACCAAAGGGAATGAGAGGATCAGGTTACATGTTCAAATTTCACAACTGACCACGTGCATAAAACAAAGCCGCTTCTCAATCAACTGTAAAGCATTTCTACAAATCCCCTCTTTGCACTGGATCGGTCCAAATAGATCCTACACCAAGTTCAAGTGAGCCTCAAAAAAGAGGCAGTTACACCTCGTCAATATGGGAAAATCACACGATCAAGACGGCTACATTTTGGTTTCAAAATTAGTCTGCCAATGTTCTTTCAATCAATCAATCAACACACAATCAATAATCTCTTACGTAACCTGGCTCTGGTAACCTGTGAGGTTCATTTATCATTACTTATGGCCCCAAACACTAAAAACTCAATAGCATTAAGGTGCAGCGTTCATCTCACATTTGTATCACATATCTTTAAATATAAATATGGAACAATGTGAGGAAGTTAAAAGGGCAGTGGGTGGACTTATAGTTTAGCAGCAGGCCTTGGCAGGCCAGCCTGCTGCACATCACACAGGAGATTCCTCTGTCAGGAATGTGACCCATTTTACATTCACACAAGCATCCAGAGCAGGAACGCACTGAGCATGCGCCTGATTTGGTCTGTGTGAGGGGGGGGGAGGGGCGCGTGTCTGTAATCTTCACATTGTTCTGAAACCAGTGTGCATGTGTTGCTATGGTCGTATGTGAGGCCTCTCATGACGGGGTGAAAACGTGACGCATGAATGAGGTCAAATGTTGCTGCCTTAGCTGGACAGACAGTCAAGCTACCATTTCTTCTCAAGCATTTGTAGGGAAATAACTAACTGCTGGTCAGCAGTTTAAAAGCAAAATGAGGAATTCTTTAGTACAGGAAACACTGTATTTAGATATACTAAAAATCAAACGGGTTCAATAATTAACTCAACTATATTAAGGCTCACAGAAATATTTAAGACAAGATAGAAACCTGGTCATATTTTTAAAAAAAAGTGTACGTCAATTATTACTAATATTGCTGCATTTAGCACAGGAAAAACAAAATCTATTCTCTAATGGCATTTTTACTCTAATGGAGTTTTACTGATGACAGTTTAGATATGCTACATCTTTAAAATGTGTTAAAAATAAATTGTATATAAACTGAACATGGAGATTACTTCTGACCAACTTTGCACACTAGAGGTGCAATGAAACAAAGTCGTACCCTGAATCTAGTCCAAGGTCATTTCCTGCATTGGGCATTATTTAGCTATATTATCAAAACATTAACCGTACAAGCTTTGATAAGTTCTGGTAATTTGCCAATGTCTTAAGGTGAAGCTAACCATTTTTACTTGAGACATTTAGTCTTAAGTGCGGTCAAGCCAACCAGTATGGACCGAGCTGGACTGAGCTGCACCAAAAAAAAAAAAAAGAAGCTCAACGGGGAAATGGGAAGTTTTTTGCTATGTTTTGCTGACAAATGCAAAGCAACCAAAAGGGAAATGCTAGCCATGTATTTCAGAGAAGAAATGAGCTCAGGTAACAGTTTGAAAGTAAATTGCTTTGGCTCTACCACACCATGCATAAGCCTGACAAAAACAAACTAAACAATAGGGATGATGACACTTGCACTGGGAATATAACACTACAGGTGATTCAATTAAAGAACATTCAAACTGATTTAAAGTAAGTAATAAGAATAATGGTTATTCCAATTTCATACCTGCAGCTCACACCAAGCCACCTCGACTGTGGTCTCGGTGTCCAAGCCTTTGTAGACAGTCTTGAAGGAGCCACGTCCAATTTCTATATCAAACTTCAGGAAACGCCCATCTGGAGATGTTCCCACTGCTTTGGTCTCAGCCTCTTCAATGTCGTCCTGCACTTTTTTCTCAGCTTCTCGCTGCTCTGCCTCTGCTCGTGCCTTGGCAGAGTCCTTATCTTCTTCCTCCCCCTCTCCTTCATGATGTACTTTCACTTCAGTGGTGCTTTCAGGTTCTGTTCGACTTGGCAATTCTGTTCCTAAGCCTGGTGCGGAGAGGGATGCTATCACCTCTCCATCACAGGTATCTTTTACAATGGCAGGCTCCTGCTCTAAAGGCACTACATCCACCTTGGCTGTTTCTTTTCTCTGTTCTCCTCCTCCAATATGAGCAGACTCTTGATTTTGAGCTAAACTTGGTTCAGCCCGCGGCAAACGAGCAGCAGGAGCAGCCAGTTGCCGCTGGGGGACGGCTTCTCGTTGCTGAACCCGTTGCGGTGCAGGGATGGGGATCTTGCTGGGTAAAGGGAGGGCCAATGCTGTAGCATTAGAATCACTGATGACACTGCGGCGCAAGAATCGGTGTTCAGGGTTACATCGATCACGCTCCATGGTGTGATGCCGACGTCTCACTTCTGTCGGCCGGCTCTCACTGACCATTGAATCTGAACCAGAACTGGGGCCATTTCCGCTCTTCTGGGGGGGAGCCAGGAACTTCACCATTTTGTCGTCTGGCTTTTCCGACATCCCACCACCCACACTAAGCGTAAGGGGGTACACTAACTGAAAAATTAAATTAAGGAGACTTCCATGTCTGCCATATAGGCTTGTATTAGCAGTATCGATCTGTCCTTTAAAAAGAAAAAAAAAAGATAGAAAGTCTTACAACTTCTATCTCCAGCTGTCTTTTTGTATTAATCAAAGACGGTCTTTATATATGTAGTGGAGAGATTGGGGGTGCAGGATGGGAGGTGTTCTCTTGTAAATGGTAAAAGAGAAAACACCAGAGCAGAACACAGAGTGCCGATGTTGATACACAAGTCTCTTTAAGTCCACACCATCCATCCTGTAAGACACAGGGTGCAGCTTCTATCAAGCATAAGGAATCACTGGTGAGGAAGAAACATGCACAGCCGACAAAAGGCACCAATCTTCCTACTGTAGGCGGAGGCAAGACGGCCAGACACTCGGAATGTGCTCCAGTCGTGTTTCACTGCAAGACAAAAAAAAGGAAAAGAAGCTACTTGTCACGTTTTTAAAAGTAACCAACATTATGTAAAATGTCAACAAGATCAGTAAGAGACAAGCCTAAGTGTTCACAAGTAGAATTTACAGTATACATAAAGTTAGATAACATTGCTTTCATTGGAAGCACAGCTGACAGAAACTACATATCTAGTGCAGAGTACAGCACCAATCATTTGATCATTTTGTGATTCACTTTTGATAAACTAAGAAGTCTTTCTTTGAGGTTACCCACCTCTGATAAGAATTGCCTTCATGCCCAGGGACAGACAATATAGGCATATGATTGCATTCACATTGGCTTCAATGCAGGTACTAACAGGCAATTTTACTATATATTACAGCTATGCCGAATTGGTATAGCATTCCATTTTATAGTGCGCATTAAGTGTTTATCTAAATTATAAATAACACATAAGTATGTTATGTGGCACAAATTCCAAATGCATTCCACAGCTCTTTAGAATGACACACTAACCTCTCAGTGCCTCACAGTTAAGACCAGAAGTAACTAATTAAGCACAGCTGATAGCTGATTATTTCTCAATCAACAAGACACCGCATATACAGTTAATCATGAGGTTAGTGAATATTGTCTGAATATCTAATATTAAGTACATTGTTAAAATCGTCAATCTAAACTCAACGTCAAAGATGCACAAAGATATAAACCTACAAACATCTACAGTTAAACTCTGGATGCATAAGATCGGTGCGATGTAGCTTTGTTGTTTTCTTTATATTGTGTTTTTGTCAATTGCAGGCACGCAATGACTATCTTAATGCTTATTAGTCATCTATAACCTACCATGGTTGCAGCCATTACCAGGGTAGGCAACCACAATGTCAGAACATCAATGATAGCAACAACATTGCCATGAATGAGAGAATCAACGGCGCAATTTAATTAAAATATTGTGTTATTCAACGTAAGCCTCGTCTTACGTACCTATTTCTTCACCGCCTTATAAGTGATACCACATCCATTTGAAATGGAAACACCGAGCATACAAAGCGAGGAGGAGCGACGGCTCTTTGTTAGCTCGCTAACAAGCCTAGCTAACACAGAGCTAGTTAGCTGCGTTAGCTAATCTTTAACCAATGTTAACCAGCGATGGACGGTTTACACGTCATGCCTCTCTCAAATGTATTCCGCCCCGTTGTTAGCTATTAAGCTCAACGTTACACTTATTTTAACGCAAGTTCGTTGTAATTGTTAGCAATTAAAACTAGCGTTTACTCTATATTTACAAGTTTACCGTAGACAGGCCTAGTTTCCCCCGTATGAATAACATTACGAGCGGTGCTAGCACACCGGATATGTGTGACGCCGGTTGGAAATCTATCTAGGCTTTGACAAATAGCGCCACACTGCTACCCAGCTAGCTAGCTAGCGTTAGCTACCCAGCCTAGCTAACGTTAGCTAGCTGGCCTTGCTGATGGCCTAACAAGCTAGACTCACCTCCTGGTTGTCTCCATTCAATGTAATGCTATCTGACGCGTTAATAACGCCGGCGCTTAGTTTGTTGTTACTTTATAAATGGTACTCTTATTAGCTGGTTCACGGCGACCATTTGAAGCAGTGTGGTACACCTTCTATGTGACATTTGTGCCCTATTTTACAACGTTGTGCTCACTGATGTCCATTGGCTTGTCTGGCTGTGCTAACAGTTAGCAACATAGCTGTTAGCCCTTCACGAGCTAGCTATGCCGGGTGGCAGACAGCGACCTACCTCAATATCGGATCCACAACACGCAACTGATGGTCATCGGCGATGAAACCGTCCTCACAGCGTTAATCCATCTTCACATATATAAAGCAGAACACGTGTACACTATCCTTAAATGTCAGGCAGATAAATTACTCTTTAGTGAATGTAAAAGTTGAGATTTGTGTGCTCACTTTCAAGCGGCGCAGTTGCTACATATTGACGAAGAAACGGGTTTTTTTTCGAAAGCGCCTGCGCCGGTGACTAATGACCTCATAACCATAACACACAGGCTGAAGCTCCTTCATGGTATCACTTCTGTATCTGGCTTCCTTATGACGATGGAGCTATGCATACGTAAATTCAAACCTCAAGTCATTTATAGATCATTTCAAAAAAAAACACTGATTCTACATTTCATTACGCATATTCACAATTATTTTATATGAATTAATTAAAATCATTTTGGGATGTGTTCATTTAAGATATCAATTGGAATCAAAATACCCACCACAAAATATTTGACAAAATATGTTTAATTTTAATTGTTATTGTTATTTAATTGTTAATTGTTATTTTGAATATAAAGACGCTTAATGTTTTTTTTTATAATTTACAAATGCCTTGTTTTCTGAAAAAAACCATTTACTTCCAGCAACATAATACAATTAAATGTTATCATATAATTTGAAAATAACACCAATCTATTGTTTTATTCAATCTAGTATTATGTTTTATTTTATTGTATTTATTTACTATGTTTGAATGCACCTTCCATTTATACAGTTTAACACTTCTGCTGTGAAAATTAGAAAACAGAAACAACATTATTAGCTGAAACCCTGTTAATACATTATAGGAATATTAAAACACAGACCAGGACGTTTGTAAGCCTAGAAATCTGCTGCTCTTCTTTCAGATTACAATTGACTGGGAAAAAAATAAGACATTTTATTATGTCATGATGAATGGCTAATATACTACCTAAGCACAATGTTATACATACAAATTACTCAAATTTGTTTTTCAGATTTTTGTGGGGGAAAAAACAATCAGACAGACCATTATGTTTTTTTGTAGCAACCATTTCGGAAATACAATTTTCCTCCAAGTAAGCACTGCCCCCTGTTGGTATTTGTTGACCAAACATGCCATATGAATCTCTTTTTATGTGATTTCACACAAATGAAAAGCTCAATGTCTAATCATTGATATTGTATTGTAACAATTCTAACAATTATTCTGTCTGTATTTATAATAGTTATTTACTTATTTAATATTCTTTACTGTTTATTACTTATTTATAATACTTGTTTTGATCTTGTTTTTACTAAGTCTCTTGTTTGCACTATCCACTATGCTGCTGTGACCCTGTAAATGTCCCCACTGCGGGACTAATAAAGGATTATCTGATCTTAACTTATCTTATTTTTAATATCAGATATAGATATTCCAAATAGTGGTAAACTGCATTTATATCGCTGCCTGTTCACTGAATTAAAACACTCTAGAGTTGTCTCATCGCATCCATGCAGAGCTACAGTGTATATCGACAGGTCTGCTCTCTGCTGCTCTCCACGTTCACCCACCGTGCACCTCGTGACCGCGCCTTTAAAATTCAAGCGTGGCGAGGGGAGACGGTCGTGAACGCGCACAGAAGGCTTGACGTCACTGAGGCGCCCTGGCTCTCCAGAGCCGCTCGTACTGCTGGCAAAGAAGATGGGAAAATCAGATAGCCATCAAACGAGTGATTAACATAAAATGACGGGTTTGTTCTGCCGCTTTTCTGACTGACTGAGGATTCAGTATTGACACCGATTTGAGCTCCACCGGACCACGAGAGAGGTAGTTTGTTTGGGGAGGTTTTCATCACGGGCTATTGTGTTAGCGAGGAACAAATAGAGGTCCCGGGTTGACCACATAGATCGGATGGACTAGCCTATGTTACGGGAAAGCTAACGATAAACGTATGTGCATTTCATAGTCTATCTATTTCCTTCATACTAACGAGACTCGCAGCTCGGTATGTCAAGCTACGATTGAAGAAAATCGCAGCTTAAAATGAAAAGCCGTTCCGTTAAGTTTGAGTAGAACACGGTGTGATGTGGGTGTAGACCTGTACCGCGTCGGTAGGATTGTGCAAAATGCTTTAATTTAATCCAGCGTGTCACACCGCATCTAATGAACCTATCATTAGATACCTAGCCATGTATTTGACGGGCTATTGTTTCTATTTGCATTGAGTTTTACGAGCAGGAAGATATTTTCCCCTCACAATGTCCACCATGGACAATCCCCTGTTCCCTCCCTTGCTAACGGTAGTTTTAATCCATAGCGTCAGCACATACGGAAAAACAAACAGTTGGAGCTTCGAGATGTATTGCGCAGACAGCATATATAGGAACTAATTGTACGTGTCAAGCAAACCACAACGATTGAAGGGATAACTCGTAGTTGAAGGTATAAATGTCAGCCTGTACTGTTAGCCGGTGTGTTAAGGTAACGTTAGCGGCTACAAGGCCACGCAGACGTTACTCTGTTACACTGTGGAGGAGACTCAGTGAAAAACTAAATATGAAACGGACCATCAACTAGAATAATCGGATACCATTCCGTACACAAAGCCTCCTGGAGTCTCGTAATGTTATATATTACCAGCTGTTTGACTCAAATTGTCCGCCAAGGCTGACGGACTGTGATATAATAGCGATATAGCATTCAACTTAAATCAGTGGCTCCAAACATACATCTGTACACATCTGTACACATCTCCATACATGTATATATATTTGGATAGAGACTCCTTTAATGACTCCCAGAGAGGATCATAGACTGGGTGTTAGAATATAGGGTGCCTTTGATGCTGACTCAGCTGGCGTTGATACTACTTTGTCAAATTTACAAACATTTGGTTGTCTTATTATTAACTTATAACGGATGCTTTATGTATGCTATCGCCAGGCAATTTATAGGGAACAACTGTGTTTTCTTTGCAGATCGGTGTATAATTAAGAGGAAAGTCCGTCGGCGTCGTCTGTCCCTGAAAGTGGAGAGCATCAGACCTCTACGTTATCATGAACATTGTGCCCACCGTCTCCAGTTGAAGCAGGACCACCACCACATAGTCACACAGCAACACATTTACCAAGAATATATACAGATAAGTCACACTTCAGTTTTGCTGTCGGCTCCATTCTTCTATTTAGCAGAAGATGTACGGTAGTGCCCGCTCTGTTGGCAGAGGGGATGCCAACCATAGTGGAGGTAGAGATGGAGGCGCTCCCGGCACTCAGGGATCGGGCCGTTCCCCTCGTCTCCCCCGCTCTCCTCGAATGGGACACCGTCGCACCAACAGCACCGGAGGCAACGGAGGAGGAGGTCCTGGCGGATCAGGAGGCAAAACCCTTTCCATGGAGAACATCCAGTCCCTCAACGCGGCGTATGCCACCTCGGGACCAATGTACCTGAGTGATAATGAGGTTGCCTTGGCAGGTGACCACATTCCCAAAAGTGGTGGGACGATGACGACCATGGGGAGACAGAGGGTGACGTACGGGTCGAGGGGCAGTAGCAGTGGAGTTGTGGCTGCTAGCACCCCCAACATCTCCACCTCAGTGCCTGGCAATTCTGTGCTGCAAGCAGTCATGATGGCAGGCGATGCTCTAGCTTTTGGGGACCACCACATGGCCTCCACTGTGCCCCACTCTCTCAGGCAGGCCAGAGATAACACCATCCTGGACCTGCAGGCCCAACTGAAAGAGGTATTTAGCTTCTTTTTTTTCTCTCCATGTTTGCAGATGTTCTCGATCAAGGATTTGAGAATTTATTTTTTATAAGAGGTTGACTTGCTAGGTTCAACGGACAACATGTACAGTATTCATGTGGTATTTCTTTACCCTGCTGTCTCAGATTCTGCGGGAGAATGAGATGCTGCGGCGAGAGGTGGAAGTTAAGGAGAGCAAGCTCAGCTCCTCCATGAATTCTATCAAGACCTTCTGGAGCCCAGAGTTAAAAAAGGAGCGAGCTCTCAGGAAAGATGAGGTTTCCAAGATCACTGTCTGGAAGGAGCAGTACCGCGTGATTCAAGATGAAGCACAGGTGAGTGGCCCCTTTTATTTATTTAAATAGAAAGAATAGATGTTTTCCCTAAAAATTCCAGTTTCTGATATCAAGTCATTATTGTCAATCTAAATGGAGACATCAACCAGCTTGGCTCAGACATGTTTGACTGGAGAAAATGCATTTCATCCTGTGTGTGTGTGTGTGTGTGTGTGTGTGTGTGTGTGTGTGTGTGTGTGTGTGT